AAAGAATGCTATTGTGGATTGCCTATATTCAAAACTTTTTGCCTTCACTCAGATCAGAGGAACTAAATCAACGTAGCTGATCTATAGAGCCCTTTTAACAGGATTTACTTGCCATGGTTCAGGTGCATTTAGAAAATTGTGAATATACTTGAAGTGCAGCTGAATTTGGTTCATCTATTGATTCAGAAAGTATATCTACAGTAAGGTTATTGTAGCAGATGAACTAAGTCAAGTTCTGTCTATCCCTTCAAGCACAATATGATATATATTTAAAATAAAAAAGGACTTCAAAGCTTGATGGGTTAAGAATACAAACAGCAATTGGTGAGGATCAATAATGGAGAGGGATTGTTGCATTCATTTATGGAATTTATGGAATCCTCGAGGTGAATATGTTGGGGGCAAGAATATTGAGTTAGACTGATTTTTCAGTCTTTAACATTTTCTATTCTTGAGTTCATTAATAACATCAAATATGTCAAGAAAGGTTGATTGACCCTTATCAGAAAACTTGGACTTTCCTGTGCATTTGACAAGAAGGAATTGATTATGGTCTGAGATATTTTCAGTAAGAAGTTTAGTTCACATTTTGTTTGTTGTTGCTAACTCAAAATATAATGTTTACCAATGAACATGTGTCAGTCTGCTATATAACTGCTTATTATACACAGTTAAGGAATCATTGAAGCAGACCTGTGTAGTTCATATCTTTGTTCTGCCTCAGCGTTAACCAGTCCTGACCTTAATATAATTCCTAAGAGCAGATATGACTAAAATTGCTCTACTTTCCTTATCTCTTAATTTTAGTAAGCGTACAGAGGCCAACTTTGTTGATCTTCACAGGAAGGGTAAGAGACTATTGTAATAACCAGGAATCTGCAGAAACTTGTTAAACTTGATCAAAATCAAGAATCTGTTTCAATGAGATTATAACTGAATAACAAAGTTGGAAGGGATCTTGGATATCTTCTAGCCCAAGCCCCTGCTCAACTAAGAGACCCTATGACATTCCAGACATATGGCTGTCCAATCTTTTCTTAAAAGCCTCCTGTTTTGGAGGACCACAATATCTGGAAGCAAGTTATTCCACTGATTAGTTTAACTGTTGGAAAATTTCTCCTTAGTTCTAGGTTGCTTCTCTCCTTGATTAGTTTCCATCCATAGCTTCTTGTCCTGCCTTCAGGTGCTTTGGAGAATATGTTGATCCTCAGGGGTGGGATTCAGATTTCTTAACAACTAGTTCTGTGGGAGTTGCCTAATTTATGGGTGTGTCTTGGTGGTCACATGACTGAGTGGGCATGGCTTGCTGGTTGGGCATGGCTTGGTGGTCATGTGACTGGCTGGGCATGGCTTGGTGGTCATGTGACTGGCTGGGCATGGCTTGTATGTAAATATTCTAAGTATTTATGGAAATACTGGGGGTTTTTTTTATAAAAAAGAGCAACTTTTACCCCAAATCAGGCAAAGCAGGCAGGCAGATTGAGTTGCTCACAGAATCACAGATTCACTCAGAGATCTACCTTTCTGCAGTCTCCTACCTGAGTCTGCACTGAAAAATAGAAGCTTCAGTCCTAAGAAAGGTTGAGCTCTGCTTTTAGATTAGCTAGAAAGCAAGAAATCCAATGATTTCATGCTTTCTTGCTAATCTAAATCTCCCAGCACAGCAGAACAGCTAATGGTCTGGAAAAGAAAAAAATAGCAACTTACCAAAGGCAGGCAAGTTGGATGGCATATATGCAAGGTAAGGAGTGAGGGGAGGAGAAGGAGTGGGTGGGAAGGGGAGGGGCAAGCCAGTGGAGCAATTTGCAGTTCTCTGAACTTTGCAGAATCATAACAATCAGTTCTATAGAACTGGACCGACCAGGTAGAATCCCACTCCTGTTGATCCTCCTTTCCTTTGTGGCAGCCCCTCAAATATTGGAAGACTACTTTCATGTCACTCCCAGTCCTTCTTTTCACTAGACTAGACACAGGGCTGTCTTAATGCATGGGCCTGATGGGCACTTGCCCATGGGCCCCATGAACATAGGGGACCAATACTAATCTGTGTATGTTAACCCTTCAATGTGCCTTGTATCATTTAAATACAGCCACATATTTATTACATTTTACTGCATTTTTATTAATACTAACATGCAAATATGTGCTTAATTTTTATCGACCATTTACATTTTCATTCCTGTGAATAGTTGTCATAGGGGCCTGCTATTATGGGCCTGCTTTGCCTGGGGCCCATAACAGCAAGAGCACTTAGACTTACATACCACTTTATAGCACTTTACATATAGCTCTCTCTAAGCAGTTTACAGAGTCAGCCTATTGCCCACAATAATCTGGGTCCTCATTTTACCCACCTCGGAAGGATGAAAGGCTGAGTCAACCTTGAGCCTGGTGAGATTCGATCTGCCAAATTTGAAGTAGCTGGCTGTCAGCAGAAACAGCTTGCAGGACAACACTCTAAACACTGTGCCACTAAGGCTCTATATAACTATATAATAATATAATGCTGTTAAAATGGCCCTGACTAGACATACTCAATTCCTGCAACCTTCAACTCTTCATACATATCACACAGCTGGTCTAAACTGGCAAAATGTTGCAGAAAGGATAATTTTTTCTTTGCTTATCCCAAGATAGACTACAGGCGGTTGTGGAAGTTAGATTAGAGTTGTGTAGATGACCACATTTGCCTGATTTGATCTGTCCTGTGATTTATGACAGTCTTTGATCCTTGAAGTAGATAACTGAATACCATTTATGGAAGAATTAAAATACCAACAGCATTCTCACTTGTAGTTCATTTACAGATCTCTCATCCAATATGCTAGTACTTAAAACCCTGCAACAATTTTGGCTGGTTCTTCTGATGAAACAGCAATAAAAAAGAGAGTAGAACTGAAAGATGTAAGATGTACATTTCTGCAGAAGCTGATAATCATCTCAAACCATAAGAAGTATCTAAGTAAGTTCTCATTTATAACTGATGAATAGAAGCAATGGAAAGCACAAAATACTAAGAAAAAGCCCACATTTAGAATTATTTGTGGAGATCTTTCTCTTTCTTTAGCCAGTCTTCTTACCGGAATTGATGGTCTCCCTAGCTTTTTGTATTATTCATTCCTGATCCTTATATATATATATATATATATATTTCTTTTCTAAGTTATTATTTTGATATTCAGGACAACATGGTTCTACTGAATCACTCCATAGTTACGTGAAAATTCATTAGTTAACATACATTTCTTGTAGGGCTGTGTAATGATCCAATTTTTATTTGGAAGAGATGTTTTTGGAACATGTAAATGCACAAACATAGCATCCATCTGGGACTCATTTAAGCTATTAAATCCACTCAAATATTTATAGCTAGATGTATATTAATATAGAAACAGAACCAGTTGGTCTATGTCAAGAAGGGGAAACCTGCACTTTGTAATTGTGAGCAGAGCTAGATCTTTTATCATTGATTATGCTGGTTGCAATCACAAGGATCAGCAATTTAGGACTACAAATTAAATCCAGAAAAAAATGTTAATTCAGCAAACATCTTCAAAAGATAATACTTGGACAGAATAACTTGATTAAGAGAACACTGATTTTGGGATATTCAAATGAATCCATCATCTTTCTGGCAAAAGATCAATAATTTGGAAATATGAGAGAAAAAATTCCTTCCTCTTTCTCATCTTCCTTCTTTTATATTTCATCTTTTTATCTTCAATCTCACCTTTAACTTCTCTCTCTCCCCCCTCTCCCTTTTACCATTGTCTCATCCTAGCTTCTCACCATTTTTCTCTTCTTCCTCCATTTCTCATTTCTCCTTGTTGACTCTCTTATCTTACTCTTTTTGTCATCTGGTACCCATCTCTCTTTCTGTCAGTATTTCATACATTTGTTTTTTTCATCTCTTCATGTTGTTTCTCTTTTTCTCTAGTTATCCCTTTTTCACTATCTTATGTCTCATTATCACCTGACTCATTTCTCCTCATTGTTTTGTCTGCTTCTCTTTTCTTATCCTTGTATGACTCACCTTTCCTTCTGGTCTGGCTCTATATTTTTCTTGACTCCTATTTCTATCATCACTACCATCATTTTTTTTTGCTTTATTTATTTATTTATTTATTTATTTAAAACTGATAGTCACCCACCTTATAACCAACTCTAGGCATCAACATCATCATCATCATCTTTTTGTAATTTCTTCTCTCTGACTGATCTTTTTAATAATTATATTTTCTCCCGTTTTTCATGATTAAAAACATATTTCTTCCGTATATTTTCCTCCCACCAAACTCTCTTTGCAACACCTCTAATGGAATTCATACAAATCTATTGCTGCATTTGTTCAAATTTTTACCAGGATAAGGATAAATTAGATGATCTAAGTCCACACATATCAAAACCAATCCTGCTCATTAATTCATAATAGACAGCAGAGAAGGACTGCAAGAAATATCAGGAGAAAACAGAAGAAAATTCTATTGTTGTATTCTTCTTCCAAGATTGCAATCTTCTCTGTAATCTCATGGAGTAACCTCTGATGCATCTTAAATGCCATGCCATATAATTGAGTATTACACAGAAGTGATCAATGCATGAAAGAGACCAACTTCCACTTGCCAAGTGCTTTCCGGATGGGCAATGAAATAACATAATACTCATAGCAAGTGACCATGATAGAATTTCTATTAGTACACTGTTTACTAAGTTTCATTTGACTTTCTGAATGCAGTTCTTTATTTTATTTTTTTACTTATTTATTTTTATTTTATTTATTAAATTTATTGGTCACTCATCTTACTGCAGGCAAATCTGACTGGCTTACAAAACCCCAACCCTAAGTGTAACTCCAACCCTATACAAAACACAGGGAAGGTCTCCAACTGGCATAACCACTGGTTTGGGGAGCGCGCACATGCACGTCAAATGCATGCTTCATGCGCGTGCATGCTACCGGTTCCGGCAAGCATTTACCTTCTCCAGCTGATGAGCGGCACTCAGCTGTGCCGCGCAAAGCAGCTGAGAAGGAAAATGCAGCCATTAAAGGACAGCCTAGACCCTGGGTAGGCAGGAGGGCCAAACAGCAGAACAAAAGCTCGTCCCAGTGGTTTGGTGTCAGCTGGTCTTCAGAGCTACCAGTTCTATAGAACTAGACCGAACCACTAGGATTCACCCCTGCAAAACACACACACACAGACACACACACACACACACACACACACACACATAATACTATCAAAATACAATTCTCAACTCTAACTATTAAATGGGGAGAGAGGAAGTAGGATGACTTAGAGGAAGATGGGGATTTCTGTTATTAATCTGTCAACCACTTCCAATGTGAAGCTTCTCCATTGGACTTCCGAGCCAACTGTCAGAGTCAGGGCTTTAGGCTCATACAAAAGGGTCGGAGCTGACCTCACAGGAATGAGTGGGAAACAATATGTTCCAAAGGGTGGGAACGATGGCAAAGAAGACTCTTCTCCTGGATCCCACAAGCTGATGGGTCCCAAACTATGTCTTCTCTGCCAGTGTGGGTGGAGCAGGGCCAATCCCATTGGGATGAGACAGTTCATTAAGTAGCTTCAAGTGTTAAACTGTAGATGTTCTTTTATTCAAATATGTTGAATCTTTCCCTCCTTCTCCCTATTCTTATTCCTTTTCCTCTATTCTCTTTTCTCCTGTCTCTTTCTCCCTCCCTCTCCATCTCTCCACCTCTCTCTCCTTCTCTCTTTTCCACCTCCAGCTCTTTCTCTTTTCCCTCTTCTCTCTCCCGCTCCCTATTTTTCCCTCCCCCTCTCTCTCCCTCTCCTTCATTCTCTCTCCCACTTTCCCCATCTCCTTCTCTCTTTTTCCTCTCCAGCTCTTTTGTTCTTTCCCCCTTTATCGTGCTCTCTCCCCCTTTTTTCTCTCTTTCCCTCTCCCTCTCTCTCTTCCCCCTTCTCTCTTTTTCCCTCCCAAGCTCTTTCTCTTTTTTCTCCTCTTCTTTCTCTCTCTCTCTTTTTCTCTCCATACTCTCTCCTTCTCTTTCTCTCTCTCTCCATCTCCCCCTTCCCCTCTCTCTTTCTCTTTCTCTTTCTCTCTCTCCCTCATCCCCACTCCCCACTTTCCTCTCTTTTTCCTCTCCAGCTCTTTCGTTCCCCCTTTTCTCACTCTTTCTCCCTCTCTTTTTCTCTCTCCCCCTCTCCTTCTCTCTTTTTCCTCTACAGCTTTCTCTCTTCCACCCTCTTCTCTCTCTTTCCCCATCCTTTCCCTTTCTCTCCTTCTCTCTCCCTTCCTCCTCTCTCCCCCCTCTCCTCCTTTCTCTCTCTGTCTCTCTTCCTGCCCCCTTGTCCCCCTCTCCTTCTCTCTCTCTCATCTTCTAATCAATTGATTGTTGTTTCTTATAACCTCTATATCACAATTTTCAAATTGCCTATATAAACAATGCTATAAAGCACTGAACATCAGAACAACTAGACACAAGGACAGTTTCTTCCCGAACATCATCACTCTGCCAAACAAATAATTCCCTCAATGCTGTCCAACTATTTACAAAGTTTGCACCACTATTACTATTAATCTTCTCATCACTCCTTATCACCAACCCCCTCTCATTTGTGACTGTATGAGTGTAACTTTATCGCTTGTATCCTTATGACTTATATTGATTGTTTCCTAGTATGATTTGATTGCTTATTGTATCCTATGACTATTATTAAGTATTGTACCTGATGATTCTTGACTCTCGATGAATGTATCTTTTCTTTTATTTGCACCAAGACAAATTCCTTGTGTGTCTAATCACACTTGGCCAATAAAGAATTCTATTCTGTTCTGTTCTGTTCAATCACTCCATTCTGTTCAAATGTCTCATTCTTTGACCTCTTATGCCTTACATAACTGGAAGTCTTTTCATTTTTACCCTAATTATTTAAGAAACAATTATCTCTTTCTCATTTTTCTAATTTCATGGGTTTGATTTCCTTCAGCTGATTTATTATTCTTATAGTCCTCTTTGCCCATATCAGATGTTCAATTTCTCAATCTACCTGTCATTATTTTTATATTGAATCATAACAATTTTAGAAAATAAATATTGCTTGATTTTGTTTTAGATATGCTAAAATTATATAGAATATTATATTATACAAAAAACACCATTTGAACCTATTTTGCAGAAATCACAAATGAATCAATGGGCTATGTATCTTAATGATTGAAATAAACTCATTTGTTTTATTCATATGAAGAAATTCATATGTAATTACATTTTGAAAAATGGATGTGTAAGGACATCTTGTTCCTTAACAGAGAAGCAAAAATAGCTATGACTACAGCAGCTTCTGTATGAAATCACAATCAGTGTTCTAAACATTAAACCATCCCTTGAAAGAAGAATTCCCACAGCAGATTTATGTTTTTGTGCAACATAAGTTACGTCAAGGATGGGTAGCTCATGATTCCTGTACTGCGTGCTACCTCAGATCCCCTTTGGACTACCTTATATAGACTCTGTTTAAGCCTATATAAACACCAAAAACTTCCCTTCCCCTCCCTTCCCTTCCCAGAGAATCTGATTTCTGTCAAAATGCATTGTTCTTTGGCAGCACAAGCAATGGGGGAAGGGGGAGAAAGACATGACTCTCAGCTGCTGAAATGTGGTCTGATTTATGGCACAGAAAGTCAATGCCAGCATTTTAAGTTGGATTTAGAAAAGAATTGGAAGCCAAGATGCATAGCATTATTTGTTCCCTAAGACAGAATCCCTCCTAGGCTTCTAGTTAAAATTAGACAACATTCTAATCCCCATAATGTTAATTGCAGTTAAATTCAGTTGGAATTTAGTGAAATCAATAAATTGTAACTCATTGACTTCAATCCAGCTTTCCCTAAGTATTTTTTTTAATTTTATTTTAAAAATGTTTTGCAATCTTGAGCAATGCTGAGAAAATAGATGACTATTGAGTGATATCCAAAGGAATCCTTATTTAGTTATTCTGTTTTAATGGAAATTTATATTCAAACCCTAGGGCTATTTATTTATTTCTGATGGGTTTCAAGTTGAAATTATCCCAAAAAGGAAACAATGAAAAGAAAAATTCACTGGAAAAAAAGATATTCCCATGGCAGCTTCTCTTTTTCCTGTATTTGTTACTTTCCCCCATTCATCACTTTACTGTCAAAGCAAAATAGGGCAGAGAATGTATCTGCCTAGTCATCTTTCTTTTCTCCCCCCCCCCCCCCCACACACACACTCCTCCTTCAGTTTAAAAGATCAGGGAGGTTTTTAAAAAGGTTGGATGAAAACATAGCCAAGATATTGCTAGTATTTTCCATCAGCTCATGTCAGAGTTATTTCACAAATAATTGTTGAAAGGCATATGTGTGCCCTTGGTACTCACAACTCTGTCTGAAGATACATAGTCCACTATTGCAAAAATAAACATATATCAGCTTAAAAAGACTTCAGGTGAACTCTATAAGGCAAATACAAAGCCAAGAATGACTTCAGAGGAACTCTGATAAAGAGAAATGGATAAACAAACCACAATGAAATGTTCTATTTATTCACATTTTTCAATAATAGTTGAAGAACAGTAGGCAATAGTAACTTCTTATTTTTTTTCAAATCTTCTAGTAAACACCATAAAGAGAAGTGACATTTCATGAAGCATTTTTTTTTACTGCAAATATCTCAGAGTACAAACATTGTTGCCAAAAAAAAAAAAAAAGATCATTGTGGACAATGGATTCATTTAACAATTATAGTGGTCAATTAACAACCATGCTGTTTGTTTTATGACTGCCATATTTACTGAACAATTGCTGCAAAAGAGATATGGTCACATGGTGATCCACTTAATGATTGACATGACTTATGATCACAACTATGGGCGCCATTACAGTCATAGATTAAGGACCACCAGTACCCTAGTAAACATAGTCGTACTGGATAACAATTCCAATGCTCTATAACTGGGGTATCAAACTTGATTTCACTGTGGGCCATATCAGGGTTGTGTTTGACTTTAGGGGTCTGGGGTGAGCATGGCCAGCTCGATGTCACTTGTGTCAGGATGCCCTTGGTGCAACCCTCTGCCAGTGAAAACGGAGCCTTGGATGGCCACATGCAGCCCTGCTGAACTTTGTTTCCCCTGGCAGGAGCACTGTGGGCTGCTCCTTTGCTGTTTCAGGGTGGCCCCAGGCCAGATCTGAGTACCCCATGGGCTGGATCCAGGCCCCGGGCCTTGAGTTTGACACCCCTACTCTGCAAAACCAAAAGCACATGCTTATGTGTGGTAGTTCTGGATTAAGTTTCTTATCAAAACCCTAAATAGGTTTAATTGTGGTTGCTTGAAGAAAACATTAGCAAATGCCAAATATTTCCTTCTAAATTGTTTCACAACCATGTATATATATATTTTTTGAAGAACACATTGAAGTCTCTGTTAATATTTTCAGTTCTGTTATGAAAATGCAACTTAATAAAGGAAGATTTTGACCATACTTTTGTTCAGTTCCATTCCCTTTGTAGCTGATACAGTGAATGAGAACTGGCGCTTCTTTCCTTTTATTGCTGGGTGTTGCTTAGCAATATATTACCCTGACATTGAACAAATGTGGAATAGTAAATATTATGGTTTCATCTAACATTTTGACTGTGAAAATAAACTGCTTCCAAATGAAGTTCAGAGAACAGATCCCAGGGTCAAAGACCACTAGAACAGGCTTTTTGTAACTGCCACACTACCTTTCACACAAAAGAGAAATTATTTATTATAACATGCTTCCTTCCAACCCTGGTGATTCATAGCATGCCATTCTCTGGAAAATTCCACCCTCCACTCTTAGAAGATGTGAACCTAGCTATATGTGCATGGGGTGTTGCATGGAGCCCTCTGGACAGTGACAGCCTGTCCCACTTGAAAAATGACAGATCTTTAATATGCTTGTCAAATGGACATAATAGAGCAAAGCAACATCTTCACAGTTCTTGGCTAGACAGATCCAAATGATCAAATCTGGGTGAAAACTGCTCAGACGGGCTCTTGGTACTTTTCATTTGAAGGAGTTTCAGCCTTTTTCCTGTATGATTTATGTGAGTGTCCTGTCCACC